GTCCCCAAGGACTACAGGCAAGTCTCTCTTACTGCCGTGAAGCAGCGATTCGAGGACAAGCGCTATGGAGAGATCAGCCAGGAAGAGGTGCCACTCAGGCTGCTGATGGGGTGCTGGGGCGGGAGGCAGGGGTGCCCGCCTGCCCCTCGGGGCCTCTTCCCTCCCTCTGACCACAGCTTCCTCTCAGGTGCTGAGCTACAGCCAGTTGTGTGCAGCTCTTGGAGTGAAACAGGAGAGCCCGGAACCTGCATCTTTCCTCAGCGCGGGGGAAATTCACACTTTCCTCAGCTCTCCCTCCGGAAGGAGAACCAAGCGGTTAGTAAGCCCCAGGTCCATAATGGCGAGATGCAGCGTTAGCTCCTCTGTGCCAGGCCTGGGTTCCCTGGTGACCCCGCAGCCATCTGAGGGGCTCCCTTTACACGGGGCTCCTTAGGCAAAGCATGGAGAAGAGCAGATGCCGAGAAAACTGAAGCCAGGGTTGACCTCAGGCCCCTGGGCCTAATCCCCTGTCTGCAATCCCATCTGCTTTCTCCAGCCTGGCTCTCCTGCCTTAACCTGATTCCCTTTGAGGGAAGACAGTCTTGAGCCCAGACTGGGCCCACTCAGGCTCTGGCCCTGCCACATGCCAGGCACGAGCCGCCCTGGGCCCTTCTGCCCACCGTGCTGCCGTCACTCCAGAGGTACCCTGACTAAGGTTCTCAGTATTTTCTTGTTCCCTCGTCTCCCGTATGTATTCCATTTAACCTGTCTGTCCTCTCATTGTCCTGGATCTACTGCCTGGAATAATGTCCCCTCCCCACCTGAAGAACTCCTATTGATCCTACAAAGTCCAGATGAGCAGGACCCTCACTGTGCTCCTGGACCTGCCTCTGCCAATCTGTGCCATGAGCTTCTGAGGGCCGTGTCACCCTTGCTCACAACACGTGGGGGCAGGGTGGGCAGGTGCCAGGAGTCAGCCTGGGCCTCCCAACACGGCTGCCTATGACAGGTTCCTGGCTCTTCCGCCCTACAGGAAACGGGAGAACAGCCTCCAGGAGGACAGGGGCAGCTTTGTCACCACTCCTACTGCAGAGCTGTCGAGCCAGGAAGAGACGTTGCTGGGCAGCTTCCTGGACTGGAGCCTGGACTACTGCTCCGGCTACGAGGGCGACCAGGAGAGTGAGGGCGAGAAGGAAGGCGATGGTGAGTGCTGGGGATGGAGAACCACCAGGGGTCGTGCGAGGGGCCAGCTTGTGCAGAGGGGCCCCCTCCCCGCTGCCTTACCTGCAGGAGAATATGTCCAGGCAGAGCCCCCAGAACACTACCCTTGGGGAGGAGGGGACGTAGGCCCAACCTCTCTCCATCTCTCACTGGACCTGTGTTGATGGAAGGACCTCACCAGGGCAGGGAAGAAGAAGAGATCCTGACTGGAGTTCACAAGATCTTTGTAGAACATTGTACAAGATGTGCCTTGCCACTACCCTGTTGGGCTCTGTGCCTCGTGTACCCTCCAGGGCAACTGCGGGAGGCTGTATCCCCATGTTCTTAGTCAGCCATCTGAACAGGAAGCCCAGTTCAAGCAGTTTCTGTTGATTTTCCAATTCCTTTTGTGATTAAGTAAATGATTAGATGGCCAGTTGTCACTTCCTTCTGTCCCCCAAGTCACATGGGGTGATACCCCAAGCATGAAGGAGGCCCTTCCCCCTCAATTTCTTACCCGAAAGAAAGGGGACTGTCCAGCGAAGTTCAAGATATGTGACCATGAGTTGGACCCTGGGCTGCCCTGGATCCTGACTGGGGCGGCAGGGGGGTCCACCCCGATGCTCAGGCTCTGACCTGACGACCTCTCCCCCAACGTCTCCCACAGTAACGGCTCCCAGCGGTGTCCTTGATGTCACCGTGGTCTACCTGAACCCAGAACAGCACTGCTGCCAGGAATCGAGCGATGAGGAGGCCTGCCCAGAGGAGGAGGGGTGCCAGGACCTGCACACGTTGGCACCAGGCACCCAGACACCTCAGACCCCAGGGCTTGAGCCCCCTCTCTGCAGCAGGAGGGGGCCAGGCAAGGACATCACAACCTCAGGGTACTCCTCTGTCAGCAGCGCAAGTCCCACAAACTCCATGGATGTCTTGGGGGACCCTCCCCGATCTACCTCAGTGCTGTCCCCCGGCAGCAACTTGAACACACAGCCTTGCCACCATCACGCCAGGAAGTCATGTTTACAGTGTCGTTCCCCGAGCCCCCCGGAGAGCAGTGTTCCCCAACAGCAGGTGAAGAGGAAAAACCTATCCACCCACAGTGAGGAGGAGGAGGAGGAGGACATGAACTTAGGCTTTTTGAACCTGTGAGTGTGCCAGAGCACTTGCTGCAGTGAATGTTTGCTGAGGGAGGGCTGCTGTTGCACTAGTGAGGGGAGGGGACACTGGAGACGGATCCTTGTAGACCTCCTGGTAGCCATCGCATGGGGATCAGAGAGGAGAACTTGGGGCGGTAAGTTTCTTTCTCCAGGGAAGCCCACTGGGAGCCATCAAGATGTCTAAATCACAACAAAAACTCAGATCCTTCTCTTTGGAAAGTTTAGCCTCAAAGCAATCATACCACACTGCGTGACACCTATTTCTCTGTCTCCTCCTATGTCTGTACTACTTTCCCTGGAAAGCTTAAGCATATATCCTGATCTTCTCAGCCCCACTGAGCCTCACTCCAGTAGGTGACAGCTTTCACAGTTGAGAACATGTGTGACCCAGGTATCCTGGCACAGCTTCCCCCTCCCTGCATCTGTCTGATTTGCTGTCCAGGGGGAGCCAGCAGCTCTGAGCCCACCACCATCCCTGCGTTGTTGTGGACTGTGTGTGACTACCAGGAGCAGGGGCCTTGACTTTTGCTGGCCAGGGCCTTGATGTCTTGGTCACAGGCTCCCTCCTTCTCATATTCTCAGCTCATTTTAGAAATCTGTCCCTTCTCCTGTGATGATTTGTCTGTGTCCCCAACAGATAGTGTCTGTATGAACATCTCTCTTTGCAGTGAATTTCTGGGTCATTTCTTTTCCTGTCTTTATTTCCATTCTTCATTCCTCTAAGCAAAAAGAAAATTAAAAATAGAAAGTATTAATTAAAAAAAAACCCTCAACATTATTTAGGCTTAACTAAAAAGAAAATTTGATCCAAACCCCTCAGTGACACTTTTTATGCAAAAAGAATTTTCCCAGAGAGGCTAGCCAGAAAAAAAATACATCAATTTTAATACCTGAAGTGACCAAGATGCAGGAGAAGGAGATTCAGAGGACCTGTCCCTGCTTGCCAGGTGAGGGTGTATCTGCTGTGGGTTCCCCAGAATAATGACAGCAGAGACTCTGACGAAGACTGACCCTGGCCTCTCCCCAGTCGGGTTGACCACTGACAGGCTCACGCTGCTGATAGCTTTTGTTTCCTCTCAAACATCGGAAAGAACCACTTGGCCAGGAGTGTCCCCCAAATGCTCTTGAACCAAAACTACAGGGACATGGAGATGCTGATTCAGTGAGGCTTTTCTGGGTGCGTGCATGCGTGTGTGTGTGTGTGTGTGTGTGTGTGTTGATGTCCCTGCAGGAGCTATCTTTTTGCTACTGTTATAGAATTCTCACCACCCTGGGTTGGGTGTGGTTGAGTAAGGGAACCTCAGCATTGGGATTGTAGACCTCCCCTATTGACTGTGTGCCCCTGGGCATGTGTGAGTTTCAGTTTCCTCATCTGTAAGATGGGGCAATAATACCTACCTCACAGGGGTGTTGTGAGGATTAAATGTGATGAGAGTAGCAGCTGAGTGATGTGCATATTTGAACTGCCTTGTCCCCTTGTCCATGGCCACTTTTCAAAATCCAAAAGTTCTCTGCCTTCTCCCAGCCTGCACCTGTAGGAGGAAGCCACTCCAATGGGACCTAATACCACCTGGCTGTGGTGTGGGGTCTCCCTGTGTCTTAAGTGCTGGCTGAAGCCCTTTCCCCCTCCCCTCCTACCTCACAGAGAATCATTTTAGGCAGTAATGCTGTCAGCCTGCCACAACTAGGCAAGAAAACAGGCCACTACTGATGGAGGGACCCACCCTAAGAACAGTCCCAGGGCTGCCTGGGTCCCAACCCATCCCCTCTTCTCTGCCTGGCACCCTTGGCTCCCCTCCTTCATGTCTGTCTGCCATGCTGCAGCACCTTCCCATTAGCAACTGTGAAATGGACACCTCTCCACACACAACCCCCCCCCCGTTTGTCATCCCTCCTGCTATCCCCTGAGATTTCTTGGCCCCTGTTGCCTTTTTATTTTGGGCCCTGCTACCTGCATCACTCCTCCCAGCTAGCAACTGTCCCCAAAATCCCCCTCCCCAGGTGTCTCCTGAGTCACTGAAAGCCCCATTCTCCCATTAAGTGGACACTTCCTCCTGGGATAGCCTCCTGTTGTTTCTATGACACCAGGCTCTGCCATCCCTCCACCTGTCTGGGCGCCAGCTCCCCCTCACCTGTCCCTGTCCACGGACACCTGCCGCACCTTGTACCATCTTGCCCAGGCCCATTGCTCATGTGCCACACCCTTGTCTGCCGGACTTCATCCCCCTCTACCTAGGTGACTACTAATGGCTCATCACCTCACTAGCATGTCCAAAAGTGAACACTCCCTTGTCCCTGCTTCCAACACACGTTATCCTCACCTCTAGCGACGGTTCCTGCAGTAAATATCAATTGGGCCCCTCCCGTGCCTTGCCCTGTGCTAGGAGGCCCGGGGTCAGCAAGGCAGCTGGGCCCTGCTTTAGATCGCCTTCAATACAAAGACGAAGCCAGCCGTTAAGCAACTACAGGTGCCACCATCTACCCAGTTATCTAAACCAGAAGCCTGCTCACAATTCGAGGTTCTCACCTGAGTTCCCTGCACTGCCCCGGGTCGGGGCTCACTTTCACAACCGCCGGGGGAGGGGCGGGGTTTGCCACTGGACAGTCGTCGGAGAGGGCGGGCCCTGAGCTCGGCTCGGGATTGGGTAGCGCGGGCGGAAGGAGGTGATCTTCTAGCCGGAAGAGGAGGGATTCTCCGGCAGCGGCAAATAGCGAAGAATTGCAACAGTCTTCATGCTGCCCGCGGACTGCTCGAGCCGGTGAGGCCCGCGCCGCAGGAGGGAGCGGGGACGGGGCGGGAGGGAGCGGGGACGGGGCGGGAGGGCGCGCGGCCCGAGGCCCGTCGGGTGCTGAGCTGCGGATGCGTCCCTCCCAGGCTGGTGGCCGAGCTGCGGGATGCCCTGGATTCCTGCGCCCAGCGACAGCGGCAGCTGGAACGGAGCCTGCGAATCTCCCGGCGGCTGCTTAGAGCCTGGTATGCGGACCCCGAAACCACCCAACTAGGCCTCTCTAGGACCGTCAGAACCCAAATTAGAGCCCCTGGGCCGGGAGGCCGAGCCCAACGCTCACTTCCGAGTTGCCGGTTGTCAGTGTTCCCCCGGCTTTCCCCTGCAGGCCCGGGGACTGCTCCTAGGCTAGGCGTCGGGGCGGGGGTGGTTTTGGACCTGGGCCCTCCCTCCTGACCGTGCCACCACGGCTGCCCTGTGTCTTCACAGGGAACCAGCCGAGACCCCAGTTCCGGAGCCAACCCCAGGGCCAGAAACTGATGAAGAGGTTCCGTCTTCAGGTAAACCTCAGCCACCCACCTTCTGCAGGTGCCACCCCTGGCCTGTCTTTTGGAGTGCAGTGGTGAGGGACCCTTTGCGGGAAACAGTGGTGAGGGACCACTACATGACTTTTAGCTTTCACAGCATGCTCACCCAGTCCCCAAGACCTCAAAGAGCTGGAGCTTCTGACCCAGGTGCTGGAGAAGGCTGTACGGGTGCGAAAAGGCATCTCAAAAGCTGGAGGAGACAAGGCCCCCACTGTGAAGTCTGAGTCCACTGCCGCTTCCCCTGCCACCAGAGCCTCCACCCGACTCCGGGCCTCAGACTGGACTGGCAGCCATGCATCAGAAACAAAACCCCCCAGGGGCATCCGTCAAACCAGGGTGCCTGCCAAGGACCTCTCTGAGCACAGGCTTGTCTCAGTGGAGGATCCAGCCTGCATAGGGCGAGGGGCCCGAGCTGCCAAGCTGGAACCAAGCCGCAGGAGCCAACAAACAGTCCCAATGGCTGCTCCTCAGGCCCGAGAAGTTTTTACACTCAAGGATAAGGGGTAGGTCTCCCATACCCTCACTGGGGGAATCGCTGTCTCTACCTGATCAGATCCTGGGCAGCAGTAAGAGTCTGGGTTTGGGGTGACCGGGGAGGGGCAGGGCATTGAGCTGGAGGTGGGCCAGGAGAACCCCATGATACCACCCCATGAGGCCCATGACCTGAAACTGGCAGAATGGAACGGTAGGCTGTGGAGGTGCCACGTGGGATGTGCTGGAGCCTGTCCTGTTCTCTGTGGCTGCCTAGTGCCCTGTCCTCTTATCCACCCAGCCCGGGGGTTGCACATAGGCTCTAGAAGGCCTGGGCTTTGCTTTCTCTTCCCTCTGCCAGGCCAGACCTGGAGTGGACTGGCTCCCGTGGTCACTCTGGAAGCCCTGTCTGAGGGGGTGGGTGAGCCTCAAACCTGATGGGGCTGAGTGGGGCCTGTAATCCCCAGAATGAGGCAAGGCTGCTCTGAGCACCGGCTTCCCCAACAGGATCCTGCTGCAGCTGCCCGTGGCCTTCAGGAAAGCAGCTTCCCAGAACTCCCGGTGAGGCTGAGCTTGGGGCTAGGTGGGAGTGGAGGGGAGACCAGGGGAGTGTGGAAAGCAGGGAGGCTGAGGCTTGCAAGACTTTTCAAGCAGGTTCTTCTGCTTTATTTGCTAGGTGGCGACACTATCTTAATAGAGTCAGCCTACTTAGGACTGCTATAGTCATCTTAGACTCAGTGGGCCCAGCTCAGCCTCTCTCAACCTGTGGGACCTTGAGCAAGGCACTTAGTGTTTCTGAGTCCCAATTTGTCTTCCTTGTAGAGGTGACAGTAGTAGTACCAGCTTTATAGAGGTGTTGTAAGGGTTAAATGAGGTGGTGCCTGCAAGTGTTTGTGTTGTGCCAGGTTCAGAGCCAGCACTCATAGCCCTTATCATACATCCTGGTTACAGTCACTGCTGGCCTCTCTCCCCTTCCTTGAATTCTGTCCTGGTACTTCCCAGAATGGGGCAGCTCTGTCCCCTTTTCATGGATGGTGTCTCCTTGGTTCCCTGGGGCCTCCAAAGGCCCTTCCGGACATACAGCAGAGTCAGACACCCCAGGCTGGGGCCCCTACCCTGGCCCTTGCCTACTTCTCATGGCCCAGCCCAGCTGGCTCGAATAACCACAATGCTCTTTGGTTCCCTCACTGCCATGTGTGCCTCCCAGCCTGTGGGCCCAGCTCAGCTCTACACATACCAGTGATTCTGGGGATGCTGCTACTACTGCTAAAAACCATTTCCTCCAGAAAATGCAGACAACCGTATCCTTGCTGGGCTTGCAGGAGCCTGCGATGGGAGTGGGTGGAGGGTTGGGAGGGAGCAGAGGTTCTGGCTCTAAACCTGGGGAGTTTGAGGAGCAACTCTAGGACCCAGTCCTTGGGGGAAAGGGCTGGGAGGGGTCTGGCCACAGGGGAATTTCCCTGACCAATGTCCAGTCAGGCTGGCCCAGCTCTAGGCTCAGTCCCGCAGAGGTGGAGGCGGAGGTAGGGCGCCTGCAGAAGGCCTGCTCGCTTCTAAGACTTCGAATGGGGGAAGAACTCACTGCAGGTTAGTGGGCTCTGATTTGGGTCTCTGGTGGGAGTGAGGAGGGCTGGGCTCAGGGAGAGCTTCAGGACCAGCACGGACCTGGCCTGCCCTCCCTGACTCATGTAGACCCCAAGGACTGGATGCAGGAGTACCGCTGCCTGCTCACCCTGGAGGGGCTGCAGGCCCTGGCGGGGCAGTGTCTCCACAGGCTGCAGGAGCTGCGTACAGGTGAGACCCCATCCCCGCCTCCACCTGTGCTGAAATCTGGTGGGGGGGTCAGAGTCCTCTAGCCACAGGGAAGTGTTGGGACTTTAACAGCAGCCCAGGAGCAGAGGCAGGCAGGCCCTTCCCCATGTCACCCCACTGCATCCTAAGTTCTCACTGGTTGTCCTGTGGAGCTGGCCAAGACAGCTCCCCCGCTCCATTCCCTCTCCCAACACACAGATCCCATCACTCTAAGAACTTGCTTATTTAGCCAGTTAGGCTTGTGAGACTTAGGTGCTAGCAGATACCTGGTATTGCACGATAGTTATTTATGGACAATACGACTTCATCCAGGAGGCAAAGGGAGACTTTGCATCCCGTAAAAGGTGAGTGGGGAGGAGGCGCCTGGCCACTGCCCCATGAGGCCTTAGCCCTCTGTCCTTACAGCAGTGGTGGAACAGCAGCTGGAGCCATGGCCTGAGGGGAGACTCCCTAGGGCCTCATCACCCTGTGGAGGAGGAGCAGACACTATCCGGAGCCCCCCATTGCTTCTCTACTCCAGTACCCAGGAGCTGCAGACCCTGGCAGCCCTTAGGCTGCGGGTGGCCATGCTGAACCAGCAGATTCACCTGGAAAAGGTACTTCCAGCTTGGGGAGTAGGTGACTTTGTTAGGGGTACCATGGGCCCTGGTGAGGACTCCAGGTCTGCAGCCTCGTGAGGACTTGGCCTCGAGAGTCTATCTGTGCTTCTCCCCTCAAGACCCACCAGGGAAGGATGGGAGCCTCTGAGCCCGTGCACGTGCTGAGGGTGCTGGTGCTCTGGGAGGAGGGAAGGGCTGGAGCCTGGTGTATCGAAGTCTGCTTTGGAATTGCCCCACTCCTCAGGCCTGCCTGTGGGGGCCCTGAGCTAGTTGAGACGGGGCCCTCCTGAGACCTTGGCCCTGTACCACCCTGCAGGTCCTGATGGCTGAACTCCTCCCCCTGGTGAGGGAGCAGGAGCCCCTGGGGCCGCCCTGGCTGGCACTGTGCCGGGCTGTGCACAGCCTACTCTGCGAGGGGGGCGAGCGCTTCCTCACCATCCTCCGAGAAGATGAGCCTGCTGACTGAGCCCTTCCCATAGCCAGGTGGCCAGGCCCGTCCCTCAGCTCCCAGAGCCCTGCAGCAAAGGCAAGCTGATTCTGCCCCCGACCCTGTCTGCTGGGGAGAGCCCCTCTTCCCTAGTCAGAGTTAAGTGAATGGGGATTAAGGGGGTTTTCACTAGTGTAGTGAGCAAGGGGCCCAGAGGTGTCCATGCCCCCTTGGAAAAGCAGGCTTCTGAGGGTTCAGGGACTACAGCCTGGCTCTTCCTGAGGGGCACAGGGCCTTTGTCAGCTGCTAAACCTGCTGATCAGGGCTCGGCTGGGCTCGGCTGGACTCAGCTGGGCCTTCCACAGGCTCAGGAGAACAGAGGCTCGTGCGGGCTTTTCTTAGCTACCTCTGTTTTCTCTTGCTTTGCACTTAAAAGCCACTTGTGTGACATTAAAACTACATTAGGAAGTATATATATATTTAAATCATACCAAGGTTGGATTTGGTGTTTGTTGTTTTCTTCCTTTTGTTTTTTTTGTTTGTTTGTTTTTTTTTACTTACTGAGAATTTATGAAGCGTATTTACCAAGAACAGGCATATTCCTTCTGTAGTGAAAGGAGGGGGCAAGGCCACTCAAGGTGGGCCGCACTGGGGACTCACTTCATGCACTGGCCCTGGCACACCTGAAACCCCTCCCCACAAGTTCCTAGATTTGTACTGGGCACAAAAAAGCCACAAGCCTCTATCATAGTGGGCAGCCATGTCTCCTGGTGCCTGTGCCCACTACCACCTCCTGTGCTGTGCCGTTGCTAGTGGCTGGTGTGGGCCTTCCGCACTGAGCCACCTCCAGGGAAAGGGCCCATCACCTCCTTTGCTCCATTATTACCTCTGAGGCTCCCACCTACCCTGCTGAAGGAATCATTGTTTCCTAGAAGGCAAGAAAGTGTAGAGGTCAAAGTCAGATCGTGGGTTGACATTATAACTTGTCTGCTGCTGTGGGACTTTCAGCAAGATTCTCAATGATTTTGAGCCTCAGTCCCCATTGTCATACTGGGACAGTGGTTATTACCACTGGGGCTGGGGTGAAGATGAATCAAGATGATGTTAGATGCTTCACAGCTCTGGGCCTTGATGGGGGCTGGGAGGCATTGGTGTAACTAACATGAATCTACTGAGCACCCGTGTGGGCCAAGCACAACCTGCAGAGCTGGCGCACTAGCCCTTTGTGTGAACATTGATGTGCAAGACCAAGTAACACCCGCTTCCTCCCTGAGAGACTCAGGCCCTGGAGGCAGCTCATTCCTGAGAAGGCCCAGTCTTATGAGAGCCTGATGAAGTGTTCGAGATATGGGGGAATGAACTGGGTGATGCTGAAGTAGCCTCGGGGTGGCCCCATCCTGCAGGAGGCCCTAGTTGTAAAAGTCAGCAGGCCAGAAACCTTGAACATGGAGTCCTAGGTCTTTTGGGCTGCTGGGGACCAGATGACAGACCAAAGTAGGAAATAAAAAACCAGGGCATTCATTGCACTGAGGGGCTTCTGGGGAGTGGAACTCCAGGGTAGGGGGAGCAAGAGAGGGAGGTTACCTGGGGGACAAGCACCTCTTTCTGGCCACTCCATTGCTGCCTCCAGAGCTTATGCTCAGCTGCGGGGATCTGGAGGAACCCTTAATCTCCAGGGCAAATCCCACCACCACCCTGTTACTAGCCACCCCAGAATCAGTTTCCACAGCAGGTGGTCTCCATGACAGTCATTTCCTCCGCTAATTCACTTGGTTTATTTTGTATCTTCTCTATTGGGCAGGGATGCTGTCCACCTCCATCCCTAGCTAGGCCCAGCTGGGTGCCCAGAAATTGTTGACTCAATGACCCACCCATCTGAGGCCAGTCCTGGGCACTGGTGGTGTCCTGCGGTCTGCTGTGAGCACCTGGGCCTTCAAGGGCAGGGAGGCGCTGCGGATAGCACGAGGGGAGAGGCCTGGGGAGGCCTCGGCACAGGGCACCCAGGGCAGGAAAGGGAGACCCTCACCTCTGGATTAGCGCCCGCCCACACGATGCCAGGAGACAGCGGCGAACTCCTCCCACTGCCGTCACCGCATACCGTCCAATCCACTCTGACGTGGCGGGCAAGCTGGGGCTGCAGGGGCGCCCACACCCACCCCGAGCGCAGCCCCCGCGTCGGAGGCATGAGCTCGCACGAGCCCCCACCCGCGGCCCCTGCCGAGCCCCCGGGGGTCTACGCGCGCTGCTCTTGGCCACCGGCGGCGCGGGGGGCTCGTGGCCCCGCTGCGTCCTGCCCTTGGCGCCGTGGCTCTCCTTGCTGGCGCCTCTGCCACGGCCATCACCTTCTCGCTGCGCGGACCCCGCCTGGACCTGGCCCAGAGCGCGTCGCTGGCCGCACTCGGCGCGGGCCTCGGGCTCCTGGCCGCCGCCTTCCTGTGCTGGCGCGCTCGGCGGCGGCGGAGGGCCATGCGCGGGGGGCGGCAGGAGCCGGGGACGCCCTGAGCCCGCGCGCCAATCCCTCTGCCCTGCGAGGTCACGGCGAGCCGGCGCCTCCTCCCTTCGGACCTCGCCCCAGCCGGCTGGCGCAGTGCGTGCGGCTCGCGGGTCCTGGAAACCTCCCCAGACCCTGTCCCCAAACTGTATCGTTCTGAACCGTTAGAAGGCCTGAGCTTTAGTGGGCTACGAGTCATTTCCCTCCCCTCCCCAGACTCGGCTCTCCCCTTCTCGCGCCCCTCCTCCGCCCAGTGTTGCTTTTCGGCGTTTCGCTTGGCGCGCAGAGCGGGGCTGGCGGCAGTATGCGCGGCACAGGGGCCCTGCCGGGTGTGCAGGGTGCGGGGCGGCAGCTGGCCGGGGACTTGACGTGGCCACCTTCCTCGGGACGAGGCGCCCTTCCCGAGCTGTGTCTTACCCGCTGGGGTGGAAGCCTCTCGAGGCATAATAGGCACTCAATAAATGTTTGTGCTTTATGTGAACAAGTGGTGGCTTGCGTCTGATGAACAGTGGGATCCTGGGCTAGGCCTGGAGTATTTGATCAGTTGGTCTTTTAAGGGAAAGACCCCAGCCCCCTGAGGCTTGAGACTGTCAGGGTCCCTCGTTTCGTTTTCTCCCAGATAGGTTCCCTGAGCCCCAAAGCCAGCAACTATCACTCCAAATGGGGGCGAGGATGGGGGTAGGGGGACTGCCACCTGAAGAGTTACAGGTGGGGACCTGGAGGTGGAGCCTCTCCTAAGGTGCCAAGAGTGGGCAGGGCCTGCAGAGAACTGTGAGGTGTGAGAGGCTCTATTCAGGGGCCGGAGCCAGATGGCTGAGTCCACAAGGAGAAATGATCCTGGGTTGGGTGCTGTGGGGAAGGCCCCCTCATAACTCCTATCACACCATCTGCCAGGGCTGCACCAGGGACCAGAAGAGAATGCATACCCTAGGGCCGTTCCAGGGAAGAGGCTGGGCTGCCTGCAGCCTCTTCCCTGGGGAGCTAGTAGTGCCAGCTGACCCTGATCAACACTGCAGGCTGAGCTCTGGGGGCCTTATACCCACACCAGAAGCCACCAGATGTTTTGCAGACCCTAATCCCAACTCATGAGGAGGCTGGGCCATACACAAAACCTGCAATGCTGGGCAGGGAGAGCTGCTCCCTGCTTTCCTCCTTCCTGGAAGGACTCCTGAAGTCCAGATAGCCACAGTTTTGCTGGAGGCTTGTCTCGGGCCCTGGGGAACCACTGTGTTGGGCCTGTGCATTTCTCCCCACTGTGGCCACCTCCTTGCTTCTAACAATCCCAGAAGGATTTATCACATCCCTCACTCTCCCACCAGGGCTCCTCCCATCCCAGCGAGTTTTGAGGCTTATGATCAGAAAAACCTTGAAGAGGATGGTTGGAAAAGTGTTGTTTCTGAACCTCACCCATCCCAGAGCAGAACTGTGTGCCCTGCCAGCTCCCTCACTCATGCATGGCTGTTTGTTACAAGGGGCTTAATCTCTTCATCGAGAAGTTGAAGGACAGGTCCCTGTGGCACCTGCTTTCTGGGGCATGGGGCACCCTTGGCCTTCCTGTTGTTGTTAGAGGTGAAGGGAGAGGCTAGCAGCCCCTGTGGCCCTCCTGTCTCAGTCCTTCTAAAGTCTGTCATCCCATCAGTCCCTTCACCCCACCCACCCTACCCGCCCTGCTGAATGTGTGCTATTCAGGCCTGGGAAAGGGCCTTGACCAGAGGGTGACTGTCTTCCCCCACCATCCAGTCTTCCCGCTGCTCTTTTTCCAAAGTCAAGCTCTCCTGCATCCTCCTCTTCTTCAGTATACCCTGGGAGGTTTCAGTGCCCTCCTGTCCCTCCTCTCCTAAACAGCAGAAGGATTCTTCTTCTCTCCATCCTCTTCTTGTCCATCCCTGCACTATCTCTGGCCCAGCTGAGGGTGGCAGCCCCCGCCTACACAGACACCCATATGGTGTCCTCCACTTGCTGCTGGGCCTGGCCTGGGGTCAGCCTCCCATCTGAAACTTCAGGCCTCAGAGCTGCTCCCAGGTAGGATGTATTCCTGTATTCCCTGCCCCCACTGCATGGGGCTGACCCTTCCTGAAATACTTGGCTCCCTCCATCAAGGACCTAAAGGTCATGGGGAAGGGGTCTTTCTGTCCAGAGCGACTTCTGGCCCCTCTTGCCTGGGGCCATTCTTAGTTGCAGCTGCCTCACCCCCAGATGGTGCTCAGGCTACCCAGCTGGACTGTTTCCCTGCCCAAACCTGCTAGGATGTGGCTGGGACTCAGGAGTTCTAGCACTGAACCGTCTGTGACTCGGCCCTCCCCATGGATCAAACCAGACTCCCTACCTGTCACAGGAGGTCCTCAACAGCTGACCAAGGCCCTGTCACCTACTGGGCTATACCTGCCCCCCACCCCAACATACACACACACATACATGCACAGCTCCAGCTTCCTCCCTGCCAGCTTTAATGCCCATCATGGTGATGCAAGTAGACACTCAGAGACCCAGGGGTGGTTTGGGACAAGAGTTTGGCCTGATCCCAGTGGGGAATGCCAGCTTCATCACTTAGGTGAGCTCAGGCCAGTCCTGGGGTGCAGTCCTTCCTGAACATGAGGCAGGAGGGACCCAAGTGAGCTCCCTGGGTACATCTGATACCTATGTAGCTCATGATATCCCAACAGCTTGGCAAAGTTGAATTACAGGCATCTGGCTGATGAGGAAACTGAGGCTTGGGCAAGTTAAGGAATCTAAACCACACACAACTAGAAATTGGAGCAGCTTGGATTCAAAATCAGACCTGGCCCCAATCCTGGGTTCTTTCTACTAGAGCAGACTGCTGCCTTGGGGATACCCCAAAACCACCAGCCGGGATTGTCCTCCTTTGCCCTGAATGTGCCCTGTAGGGATGGGGGAGGGGGGAGCATCTGGGCCCCAGTCTTCAGATGCAGGGCCCAGCCTGCCTGAGGGAGGAGGCAGCCAGACCCCCGCCCAGCACGTGGCACAACCCCAGGAGCAGTCAAAGCCTGGCTGTAGGCCGGGGGCCGACTGGGTGGTCCCCCATGGGCTGCGTGGCTGAGCCACCCCTCCAACCCCTCCCGCCAGCACATTCCTGGCTCCCCAGCCCCTCCCCCGACTCCAGGGCCTCCCAGCCCCCTCCCCCGCTGGCCCAGCCAGTGTCTGAATCTGCTTCTGATTCCGGCTCTGCCGACGAGGCCCCCTCCCCTCCCTTCCCCTCCCTCCTTCACGGCCCGAGCAGCCCCGCCCCCGGCTGGGCCCAGGCGTGCGCCTG